CAACAAGTATTGCTTCTGTTTTTTCATCGTTTAACTTCAATTTATTATTATTCATCCAGGATTTAACAGCTTTGGAGCAGCGAGTGGTATTTTCAAAGGAATCATGAGCATTGTCTTGTTTAAACTTACTGATTAACTGTGTATCATCAGCGTAGGAGAAATGGCTTATATCAAACTGGTCTATAACATCCCCCAGACAACGTGTGTACAGTATAAACAATACCGGTCAAAGAAAAGATCCTTGAGGCACTCCGCAATTAAGGTTTGCAAACTAGGAATGGGATTTGTTTATAATGATCTTCTATCTGTAAGATAAGATTTAATCCATTGTAAGGCCGTACCAGTTTTGTGAAAAGTTTGATAAAGTCTTCTTAAGAGAATTTCGTGATCGACAGTATCAAATGCGGCAGACAAATCTAACAGGGTCAAAGACACAAGTTTACCACTATCTACGGAGCGCAGCAGATCATTTAGCACACAAAGGATAGTTGTCTCAGTGCTATGATGTGGTATGTAAGCAGATTGAAATTGGTCTAAAAGATTTCGAGAAACTACGAAGGACTGTAGTCGATTGTTTATTGCCTTTTCAATGATTTTGGAGAGGAATGACAAATTTGAGACGGCTCTGTAATTCTTAAGCACATTTCGGTCAAAGGAAGTTTTCTTAATAAGGGGTCTTACAACGGCATCTTTATATATTAAAGGAAATACTCCTGTACTAAGACTTGTGTTCACAATCTCAGTAATGACTGGAAGAAGCAGATCAAGATATTCAACAAGGATATTTGTTGGAAGACAAGTTGTCTTCTTAGATGATTTGATAAGGTTTTCAATTTCATCGATAGAGAATAACTCAAAATCTGTTAGATAATCTCCACATGTGGCTGAAAAGGTGTAATGCCTTCAGTTTATTCATTTTCACTGGAGTGATCTAAATGTTCACGTATTTGATTTATCTTGGATGAAAAGAATTGACAGAAAGCGTTTGCAAGATTGTCATCACCGTCAGATTTTGGTAGAATTGTCTCAGTTGTAGTACGAAGTAGGGATTTCATAAAATTGTGACACTGATTGGGAGACTTAAGTTCATCCGTTAGCTTTTGGACGCAGTATGCGGATTTTGCATCTTTGATTGTTTTTGAGTATGCACCTCTTGCTTTTTGGTAGATTTGACGATGGACTTCTAGCAGAGAATGGCGATATTTTCGTTCCGCTTTACAGCGTTCTTCTTTTGCTATGAGAACATCTTTATTGTACCAAGACCTGCCAGGCCGGAGATATACCTTCTTAGTCAACAAATGGGCATGCTTATCAAGTAGGGCAAGTAAAGTGCTATTAAATTTACAGCACAGTTCGTTAAGCTCTATAGGTGTATTTGACAGGAGATCTGAGGACTTAAGGTCGTTGCCGAAAGCTTCCCTGACTAATGACTTAATCTTCCTAAACGAAATGGTAACTGCCTGCAACTTCGGTTTTTCAAAATTCCATGGGGTTGAAACGAGATAGTGATCTGATATTTGAATATCAGTAACTGATGCACTTTGAATGAGGGTACATGACTCTGGGGTCATAATCCAGTTAAGAATGTGACCCGATTTGTGTGTGGTATGCTGAATGTGTTGACTATAGTTGTGCGAGGCTAAAAGCTTGACTATCTTCCTACTGCTAGCGCAATCTGGTTTGTCATAGTGGATATTAAAGTCACCTAAATTAACAGAATTGGTTTTTGATGTTGTTGATAAAAGAACAGATAATTCTTCGTCAAAGTCAGATATTTTGTTCCTGTTTTTACTAGATGATGGTGGGCGATACAAACAAATCGCATGAACGCATGTGTTGTAAGAGCTGATTTTTAGGTTAAGGCTTTCGAAAGTTTTAAAAGTTTGGTATATAGTATTGCCGCAATAACACTCTGGCTGGCTTGACAGCTCCAGAAAATCGGCAATACTATATACCGGAAAACAACCGGAAAACACCATTTTATACTGAATACCGGAAAACACCGGAAAAACACTAAATACCAGAAAATCGGCAATACTATATACCGGAGACACAGGAAAACACCGGAAAACACCATTTAATACTGAATACCGGAAAACACTAAATACCGGAAAACACACTAAATACCGGAAAATACCCTAAATAAGTAACCTGGAGACTGGTGTTTTCCGGTATATAGTATTGCCGATTCTAAATACTAGATGTGTTAGTGTTTTACCTGATGTTTTAATTATCCATTAAATCATATTGTACTTGTCAAAAGGGTTCGAAAGTATTTTTTACGTCCAAATCCAGTTGAATCGTCTAACGTCAGACGATTCAAATAATCTAAAAGCCATTTCTATCAAGGGAGGTAACATACTGCACACAGCGATCCACCTACGTCATACGAGAATTGATCACTGTCCTATTTATCCTCCATTTAAAACCCCCACGTGATCATTTTGGGGCGTGACTTATCGACCGGCACTACTTTATTTACCGGAAGCACGTGTTGTATGTAAACAAATAATGCCGGATCAATGACACCTATACTAACTTAAAACAAGTAGCACTTTTTAAGGAAATAGAAAATATTGTTAAAACACAATTATCAGAAGGACTTCGCCAAATTTTACAAATTTGTAGATCCTGCAAATTAAAAATAACAAATTACTTCGAGTTCACAAATGAATCAAATAATTTTTTTAAAAATCTGGATAAAAGAATGCACTCAACTCCCGATGCTGAAACAAAACATTTAAGAAATTAAGTGCAATTGAATTCATAACCAAATCTGTAGAAAAAATGAAATTAGCGACCTATAGTACGACGAAAGAAGATGCGGCACACAGCTCGAGTGCAAGGAAGCAACTCTTTTCAAAGAATGAAAATGAAGGTAGGGTTGAAAATATATTATTGTTAATATCAATCATAACTGAATATACTTACCAATAATAATACTGACAAATAAATATGGGCCTAGATGTATAGGCATACACTTACTGAAGGTAATAAATGCAATTGCAGGCCCAATTGTGGAGCACCCCCCCCCCCCCCCACACACACCCTCATTTCATTTTGTAATCTCAAGAGATACTGCTTAAGACAATTTAAACAGTGTAAAATCATAATTCTGTTTTATATGTTTAGATCTAGATGTAAAAGATAAATCCATTGAAGAAGAAATAAAATCATCAAAGAGTCGTGCCATTGATTACATAAATGAAAATTTGTTTAATGAAAGTGATGACATGATAACAGCAGAAGATTACAAAGCATTATTTGATATATTTCGATTGGAGGAATCTGTCTCTGTGAAGTACCTAATACATATAACTTTAAAATTTGGACCATTAAAGAAAGCATTACATATGTATTTTCTTCAGGACATAGAAGCATCGTTACAAATTAATTTTAAGTATCACAATAGCCAATTATATTATAGAAATGTTGAACAATTGTTATCAGAAGATATTATGTCAGATATTATCATTGAACTGAAGGAGCGGGTACCATTTTTGTTTGATTTGTTGAAGCTTTGTTGTAGAACAAAATCTGAAGACACCAAGATCACGATGATGGCAACAATTTTCTCCATGTTCATGCAGAGTCGTGTTAAGCAGGCCAGTGCTGTTCAGAGATTATACACCTCAATATGTATTCGATACCATGCTGATAACAAGGTATATAATACTAAACCTAATTTAGGGTGACCCACCATAAATAAATATCTCCATATATCACGACAATTACGCCACAGTATTTATATATATGCCAAGCCTCAAATCAGTTTCATACAATTATAGTTACTAAATAAACGATCATGTTGTACTTAATAAGCTATGACCATTAATCATCTATAAATAATAGACTGAAAACTGGTTCCAAGTGTCGTCCATAACATCCAGACACTTTTGAGTAAAAGATAGGTTACGTGCCCTTATTTTGAAATTAGTCTCGCTTAACCAGTCTATCGACCATTCTACGTCTAATTGACATGTCGGGATAATCAAGACTACTTTTTTACGAAACATAACAGAAAGCTAGAACAAGAAATTGAATTTAGAAATAAGCACGTTAGGTAACTCAACAATCGTTTTAAGAACCTTGTAAAAGTAAAATGAAACTACTGCTAGTATCATGTTCCTGTCTAACCGGAGTGATTCAGAGATATTATTTGTACTAAACCAAAAGATGCCGCTTAACGGTACAGTTAATGATAAAGCGATTTAAAAAATGAAACGAACGTAATTTCTAAATCTGCTGTAATAACCAAGAAGCTTAATTTCACTGCTATTCAAAATCGTCAACAATAATTTTTTTACGGCTGTAATAGTTGATAGATTTGTAGAGAATTGCACGTGCCATGGTTATTTATAGTATCATACTGTCAGAAAGTTGGTCTCGGCACGGCGAATGTGCACGCTTCAGTGGTAGTCTCGAACTATCAGCGGTGGACTTTATTTCTGTAGAGTACATGGGTCACCCTACCTAATTTAGTTTTAGATAAAAACTTTTGCTCTGTTTGTGTCCTGGCGGCATTTCTTTCATGGGTTTTCTAAAATTAATAGGCTTCTTCATCGCATGAAAATCAACAATGTGTCAATCAGCATAGGTGGGAACTCGAGTCCCATGACTTGGACTCAAGTTCAACTTAAGTTGCATCACAAACTTGACTTAAAATATGTAATAATTGAAAGGTAATCAGACATTAAATAGTCTCTATTGTATGATGGCGACATACAAAGTTATTTCATAAATGAATTAAAACTTTTATATACATGTAAGTATTGATTATTACTTATGTAACTGTAATATTTATTTTATCAAATGGATATCCAATACAGCTTCTCACTAGACTGAATGCACTGCATCTAACTCTCTCGGAAAAAAGTAAAAGTGACATTATAAAAACTTATGCTGATTATTCAGAACAGTTGATAATCAATGAAATAAAGACTGGAAAAGATGGCAAAATCAATGGAGACAATTTAGATATCAGAGTGTCCACAGCTGATATGAGACTAAGTTCTAGGGAGAAAGATTTTCATTCTTTTGCTACAGACTGGACACCCTACCGAGTTTATGCCTCATCATTACCAAATGACAAACCTTTATGTAATATAGATGAAATAAACATCCACTCAGTTGTATTGAATGAAAATGAGAAAGCAAAGTTTAAACAAGATTTAAAGATTCTTATTGCTCAAGAAATGGTTGACGTATTCCATTGTTTCAAGTGGATGAACTTAGTTTTGCCAAAAAATATTCCACATGAATATGAAGAAGAAATGTCTACTAAAAGTCATTCTCATATTATGCCAGTAATTTTGAAAAATGAACAAAAGTATGACGACTGTATTGACATTCTGCAATCTTATCAAGAACAAACCCAGCGATGGTACCATGAATCTGGTCGAGGTTACGTTGTTCATCTGCATTTTGTTATAATTGGTTAATATTCAAATATTTTTGGTACCTCCCCCCCCCCCACACCAACTACTAATCTTTATTTATCATACTTGTTTCTACTTTTGCATGATTAGCTTGCATGTACCTTCTTTATGTACTGTTTTATATGTATAATCTATCAACAGCTTATAAGTGTCCTCTTGTACAATGTCGGGGGGTTGGATGGCTGAATGGTTAGCATTGATTCAACTGGCGTGGTTTTGAATCCCGGTTGTACGTGGCAAGGAGTAGGATCGCCTGTCCATCCTCGTGGGTTTTCTCCGGGTCCTCCCGTTTCCTCCCACTGCTAAAGACCCCTACGCGCAAGCGAATTATTGAAATAAAATTAAACCATATGTTAGTCTCGAAATGACCTAGTTTGTGTTGAGTGGACGTTAAACCCCATCTCTCTCTCTCTCTCTCTCTCTCTCTCTCTCTCTCTTGTACAATATCTCGCCAGACAGTTGATGTGGTTAATGTAACCATATCGGACAGATAATTATCTTCATCATTTTTATTTTCAAAAGTTACTTAGGCGATTTTGTTTTAGCCTGACAATTAGTAAACTTCTGCATGACTGTTAATTATTAAATTTCATTTCAGCTCATTTTTGTTACCGTAATTATAAAATCTCAGTTCACTTCATTTTTTACACTAGACTGAAGTGGTAGTTGTTGTACTTGAAGCATTCTTTTAACACCAAATTACGATATTGTTTAGTCTGCTTACAGCAAATATAATTAACTATTTTACTTATTTTAGAACAAAATAATGTATTTCAAATAAAAGTAAGGTAGAAAAACATGAAAATGCTTATAAGTAAAATATAAAGACCTAACCTATCTAATAACATACAAATATCATCTTTCCCATCTATTTCCAGATGATTATTACAGAAACCTTAATATTCCAATTGGTGGTGACCAATTAACTAGAGTTAGATTAGAAGGTGCCAAAATGCTGCTAGCTGGATCACATACTAGGATAGAAAGATGTGAAAATTTATCACCAGTTGTTATTGAATTTTTTCATACTTTACAAGATTTTCTTGAGGTAAATATTTTTATTTGTAGAAATGCTTTGACCATCCAATACATAGATTCGGCACATACATGAACACTTGTACTAGTGTATACTTACGTAAGTTACGTAAGTTACATCTTATTGATTGGTTGGTTTGGTTTTGATAATATTATTCATGTACAGAGAGTTGATAACAGTTTTAAAGTAAATATAGCAATATTTTCTTAATTTTAAAAAAAAAATTACCACATCAGACCTTTGCATGAAATTATGCCATCGATATTTTGATTATTTACAAACTTAATGAATCTTACAAATCTCCATATTTCACGAATATACAAAACAATGCTTGTTTACAATAAGATTGTAAATACTAAAACTTTATCTGTTACAATTTCTTAAGTGTAATACCAAAGCTTTATCTGTTACAATTTCTTAAAAACTGATTTATAAAGACAAATTATTGTGGGTTGCTGTAATGAACATTTAAAAATATAATGAATGTTTACATACATGTATACGTCAGATAATATATGATGATATTTTAATTTATTTCAGAAACTCTGTAAGAAATTTCTGATTATAAATAAATCCAGGGATAAAGGAACTCTTGCACATCTCAGAGTTATTATTCAAAGAAGTAATGTGAATGGTCAAGTTAAAAGTAGATTTAAACAACATGAAGATTTCATTTCAACAGTTGGAAAGGCATATCTTACGGAAATGGTTCAAGAGTACTTTGGTATTGAAAATGTTGATTCTCTTCCGACTAAAAACACATCACCAAAGTATGTAGAATTTTTTCATGAAAAACGTCGGCAAATGATGTTTGACACGATCTTAGACAAGTTCATGGATGAAGTACTAACAGTCTTTGACATTGAGCAGGTGAGATTATTCAGTTGGAATTATCCTGAAAATACAAAATACATATGCTATTAGATATAAGTATGTATACAAAAACATGGTCATAAATATTCAATAAACAGCACTCAGGACATTTTGTCTTTATCCAGTTGACATATTAGGTATATTTAACAAACAATAAAAGTAGCCAGGTTACCAAGAAGATTTAATTTAACCGCATTCATGTACCTGGCACTTTTACCATTACACAGAACCATTCACTATTTAGTATACAAAGTATGCTTTCTAAATAAGGTACATAGTAACTGTCTCCTGTCACATGGCCAATCTATATCTAAGTGTTTCTTTCTTCTTTTTTTTTTAGAGTACAGCAAGTACAATTCAGCTTGAGTTAAATATTGATGATAAAAAACATATTGTTACAGCGGATGTGAACGACATTGATGGAGTAAAAACGGCATCTGCATTACTGTCCATTCAAGGAGGAGAACCCTTTCGTTTACTGATTCCTATTATATCATTTGAAAAATCTAAAGTTATTACAATCACCCTCCCAGGAGTTGATGGTCCTGTTCAAATTTCACAGAGAGAAGAGGAAAGACAAGATGACCTTTTTAATTATTGCAGTAACTTTCTACAATGGTATTTTGTAATTAAGAACTTTAAAAGTGCTATAAAATATGGAGATATTTTCAGAACAAACATATGCTTAAAAGCCATGATTCCATTTTTTATACTCATTCTAACTTATCGAAATATCTAGTGGAATGCATAGATTATATTTTGAAAACTGAGATTATTTCGCACCCCAAATGTCACTGAATGTGCGAACATCAGGATTTGTTAACAGAAAGGGTGTTAAAGGAAAAAACAAAGCAGCAGATATGGAAAAGGAGAATCCAGTCAAGTACCTGAAAGAATTAATAAGAGGTTTAGGACGTTGGAAAACTGAAGATAACATTTCTAGAATAACAAAAGCTGAACCGGTTGTTAAATTAGTTTCAGATAATTTTGAGTCACTATTAGATGTTTAAGGATATTCTACCAATCATAAAGTAAAGTCATCCGAGGAAGACTTAAAAGCAATTCAAAAAGAATTAACAGAGCTGCAACCTTTCAATAAAACTCCTGGCAGAACCTTAGATGCATTCAGTGGAATTTCTAAAGATCCGTTTGAAGGAGTAAACAGAACCAAATTTAAGTCAGATATCGAAATTATAATTCAACGTATTTTACGAAATATTCCAATAGATAACCAATCAGAATTCATATAGGAATAGTAAATACTCACCATTATGCTATTACGACAGTTACTACAACACAATGAAGGACCACCACTAAAAGTGTATTCGGAACCAAAATGGTCTAACAACCGTTTTCTCAAACATGTTGTTTCATCTTTACAAAACAGAATCATCTCTTTGGTTATACCTGGCCTATTAGCCGCAATGTCATTATTATTGTAATAAATGATAGCCTGTGATGGTTGGCCATTTCTGCCAGCTCTACCAATCTCTTGACTATAACTTTCTAATGACGTTGAAGGTCGAAAATGAATAATTCTGGATACTGAAGGAGCATTCAACCCCATTCCCAAAGAAACTGTTGCCAAAACCAGTCTCAATGTAGGATTGTCCTTGCAAATTTCATTTACAATCAGTGTTTTCATTTTTGGAGTATATTTCGAATGATATTGAGCGAAAATTCTATTTTCTGGCGTTTGTTCTATTCCGACATAACCACTTTTACCAACAAATTTTTCAGTGAAATTGTAACAATAATACAGACATTCTAAACTGTCTACATAAACAATAGTAACTGGAAATTCACTTTTCAGTTGCTTCAGCTCTGCTGAAATTGGTTGTATTAAGTCATCAAATTTTTCATATTTTCTCAAATTTGGCAATGTTAATTTTTTTTCAATAAATATGTTTTGTCTGTCTGGATTCATTTTAACAACTGTAGGTGTAATTAACTGCAGATCATTGGTAATGCTGGTAATCCCGGAATTTGTTAGTGTTGCAGTGACTACCAAATGTGCAGCATCTGTATAGAGTGATGTTATTTCTGACAGTCTTTTGAATGCCTTTCTGAAATCTTCTCCCCTGAAAAAGATTTAATGGAATATATCTACATGTACATTTAGAAAAATACTTAAAGGGCAAATCCTGATTATCATTTGGTGAATAAAACTGCTTAAATTTGTGTTAAAAACCCTTAAAATAATCCTCTACCTTAGGGCCATGCAACTAACTCAATATATATATATACATTTTCAAACAACTTAGACCCGCCTGACTTCATCTGGAAATGTTGACCTGGTGTCCCAAGCTGGCTGTATACTTTTATTTTATAAAAATAATGTGTAGGTTATCAGGTCATCCAACGAAAAAATTGACCCAAAATCTTAAAATCGTTATGTGTCCGGATAAGCGGTTTTGACGTTCACGTCCAAAGACTTAATATTTCGAGCTGAAATTTGAAGATCAGATAAATACACCATTCCGCTATTCGGCATCCTCTGCATATGATAAAACCTGTACATTGTATACGTTCAAAACAGACGTAAACGAAACGGACAAAATAAAAGTTAGTAAAAATGACTAAAAATGTTGTCAAAATTCATCTAATTGGATTCTAATTCAACAAATATTTAATAGGTTGATTTCTTTTGCTTTTTTATTGACATTATAACTAATATGTCCATTTAGACTAAAATAAATCGTCCGGTTTGGTTTAAGGCGGTTTCATTTATGCCCCTTTTAGGACTGAGACAACAAACCGAGGTAATGTATGCATATTGGCAGCAAACTTTAAAGATCCAAAGACAGTTGGACATTGATAAATGTCCTATACTGCCCAGCTAACCATAGAATAGAATTAAACGTACAACAAATAAGATGAAAATACTTACCATTCAGCAACCATGTGTACTTCATCTATAACCACACACCCGACTTGTTTTTTTATATTCTGGGGAACGTAAAAGTTTCCCAATGATTGAGTTGGACACCAGAGTTTCTGGGTGGGAATAAATAATTTTGTAATGGCCCTATCTTAATGCTTGGAGTGTGACATCTTGTTCTGTGAATACACTTGTTTCACTTTGTGTCTCGCTTTCCTCTGTATCACTCCAAGGTGGATCGGCAATAAAGTCACCAGTAGCTATTTCATAGGTCTTTCTCATATTATTTTCCGATGTATTTATATTTAAATAGCATGCTTCAATACCTTTTTTAACCAATCCAGTCTGAAAAATTTAAAGTATTTTTTATTCTAAATTATTTTGACTATAAAGGAACACTTTTATTTTTTGAAACTTGAAAACAAAAATGTTTGCAATGTCAAAGACATTAGATGATATTGAGTTAGAGACTTAGCTTCTTTAAAGTTTCTCCTAACCATGTGGCATGTACCAATATTAATTTACAGAAATGTACTTATATAGGCCTACCATCGGCATACCTCATGTAGGATATATATATAATATAGCATAATAACAGTTACAATCACACATTGACAGTTTGGCTTAAATTGTCCTAATCATGTACCATTATTAATTACAGAATAATTCTTAATAATTTAGGTTGATAAAATGATATTAAACATAAATTTAATGCAGTAAACATGTACTTACTACTTAGTCCTGCATGATACTGTTGAGTGGACATACTACGAGCACAATTGGAGTGTATGGTGAAGACAATTTTGCTTTTAAAAACCACGGTAAAGCTGGAAAATCAGACTTTTTCCATAGCCAGTTGGTAATATTGCAATGCAGTCTTTATCATTGTAAACTGCCTTTAAAGTTTCAATCTGTTTATCTTTTAATTCAATGTTAGATACGCCTAAATTTGTCTTCGCGAATAAAATCGCTTCTGTGAACTTATCGTCTATGGGCGCCGCCATATTGAATAATTAGAGTGGACTATTTCGTGATTCGATTCTACTCCGTTTATCATCTTTCATACTCACAACGGCTAAGTAAACATTTGTAATTTCATTAGATATGAAAATATAAGAGGAATAAATACTTCTAACAATTTCTAAAAGCATACATAGTGTTTTCGACTAAAATCGTCGATGTAGGAATTTAAATGTCGGTTAATTAGCTTAGGGCCTATTCTCAGCCGGAGCTAGCTGTAGATAGGCAGCCTAAGTTTGGGATGGGGAGGTAATAAACTCCAGATTTGATTGACTTCCTGTTCTAAAAATAGCTTTCCTTGATGTCATAAGGTGGATATCCTCAAGTGTTACTAATGTCAACGGGAATATGAAAGGAAATGGGGATTAATATGACTTGGATTACCACACAATTAATTCAAACTTATTAATAACATTAGCCTGAATTGTATATACACGTAGAGGTGTCAATCAAGGTTTACTCCCACGAAGGCACAGTTATTGACCGTAACAGATTAAACGAGGTCGTTTTCGACGACTTCGTGGGAATCCAGCTCCTAGGGATTAAAATGGATTAAAATTGTAACAATGGTGTTATAGATTGTTATGATAAGAATTTACAATTTCATAATCTCCAATGTAACTAATTAACCAACATTTTAGAATCATTTTTGGCATAAGAAATCAAAACATAACTACACTATAACAAAAATTAATTTAATTTCGCCAAATAAGACACCCTGTCTAAATACTCGACTAAATTCAATTTCTCTTCCTCGTGTCTTCCTTTATTCCTGGAGCTGGTTTTGGATTTAAGCATATTTATATCTCTTCCTTGGTAGTTAATATTTTGTTCTTGTTGTAAAAATGTGATCATTTCAAAAACATTCGGATGGGCTTTTCCAACTATCTTCTTGATTCTTGCATGTCATCCTTCCAGAGTGTTGTTGGTTCAGAGTGAACATACATTCATAAAATCTTTAACGCCCTTAATTGGGTCCTAATAGCAACATGCATCTCTTCAAACGAAAGCCGACACGTCGATATCTGCGCCTTCGTGGGAAGGATTAATTTTGGTCACGCTCTGTAACCGCGCCTTCGTGGGAATACACCTCAATCAACTAGATCTCTATCTATCTATTGACTATTGTGATCGAGTTCGAACAATGTGATTTTTTTCCTTCGATTGACAAGTCTAATTGACCGTGGTACAAATTGAAGGAGAAACTGAAACTGAAATGGCAAAGCTGTTTTGGACAGGTAGGCCTAATTTGCAAAAAAAACATTATCATGAGAATCTATATTCAGCTTATTATTACCATTGGGAAACGTTTCGTTTTGAACATATTATGTCTTTATAAAACATGTGGGGATCACGGTGGCCATTTGGGTAAGACGTTGGCTCGCTAGTCTGGTTCGATCCTTGCATTTACCGAGAAAGTTCATCCAGAATTTCTGACGTGGTTTCCCCTTGTCAGTGATGCAGAACAGAGGGCTTGATAAGGACAGCTGTCTAGTCGTTCGAGGGGACGAAAAACTGAGGTCCCGTGTACACATTGGCCTGCACGTAAAAGATCCCTTTACAGTTGCAATTCGATATAAGAGTAGGCTGTAGTGCCGCTGTCCAGGCAAAATTTCCCTCATAACACACTGTATGGCGTATGCCCGTCTTCATTAGCCCAGTTCGGAGCAGAACAGTAGAACGTTAAACTCCATTTCATTTTATAAAAGATGTGAAATATTGTTACTATTTCTTTACCATTGTTTAAATCGCTAATATTTGGGACCTAGAAATTGACACAAATGGGTCGTAGCGTTTATAATAATGTAATATATGTGTACATATAAACTGATTTACAATTTACATTCAATCATTTCTGTTTTTACTGTAAATTCTAATCAGTTATGTTCGACGAATTGCCCCAGAAGTATCAATGGGACGGCAATCTATTTATTACGCAGACTCTCCACCTAAGAATATGGGATCACCGTCCTGACTTGTGGAATATGTCTAGCCCTGTTATTCGAGTCCCTTGTTACAAATGGTAAACATGTAAAATGTTCATTTTGTCTTAAATATTGGATGTCAGAAGCCCATATTTTACCGGTAAAATCACAACATCAATGTTGATTTAAATTGACAAATAATTTGTGTCAGACTTTGGGTGATATTGGGTTAGAGACTTAACTACTGTACTTTAATCTAGATGGTTGAATATCTCATATGAGCTATGGTTTATTAGTAACCTGAATTTAAATTTAATTATTGTAAGGTTTTCTTTTACTATCTTGTATAATAACTAATATTAACAGACAATTTTTTGATGAATGACTGGTGAATGTATTTATTTTTTCAGCTATAGCGGAATTTGTGTGCCTTCAAATGCTGGAGCAATGCATGTTTCAGAACTATCATCCATTCATGGCAGGTAATATTTGTACAGCAACTAATTAATTGTTTTTTTGACAATTATGTTACGTGTAGATCACCCTGGGCTGTTTCATCCCAAAATTACATGGGTCGTTTTATTCCACTTATATAGGGTTGTGTTTCATCTCAGTTATATAGGGTCGTTTCATCCCATAAATTTAAAAACGAGGATTTTATGAAAAAACACGAACACAACTTTTATATGAATTTTTAATATTTTATTTATATAGTAATAACAATAACAATTTTATCACTGTTTCGAATTATTCAATGACATTATTGTCTCAGTGACATTATTGTTTCATTCACTTTGCATTATATCCATTATTACTACACCTTATTTTTTGTCACAATATTTTTCCAACGTTGTGAAAATCTTAGTTGTTGGTAAGCTACCAGACACTTTCATCATTAACATACTGGTAATGATATCATCACTTTTATTTATGATAGTACAACTATTACAACTAATTTTGTTTTTGTAGTACTGATACAGACAAGGGAAAGAACAGGCCTCCTGAAATGTCTACAATCTCTGTAGGAATTAGCCCCTTTCAAGACGATATAACTCAAGAAAAGTAAGTACCATAGTAAGTTAGATGAGTTAAATTACAACTTTAGAATCGAATAAAGTGTTGTAAAAATTAAAAATGTCTGGCACGAAACAAGAATTTGTATTAATTGCCAAACTATCCTGGAACAATTTTGATGTCTTGAATTTACTATCTGTATAGGGCCAGACTCGATGATAAAAGCAAAACGGGGCGAAAATGACCACTAGACCAGGATGGTCCTCGAAAGATTTGCAGACACAGTTGCAAAACCCCAGCCAGAATCAACTTCAGAGACATCCAAGAAACAGAAAACCAGATTTTAATGTAGTATTTTCATAATAATCGTCTTGGATTAAAACCCATGCCATTTCTGTCTTGAAACGATAATCCTATTTTCAGAACACAACAGGAGTTTACTACTACTCTATTCCCTGTACCACCACATAACAAATTGTCTGTAGACTGCAAGTCTTCCCCTTCGATTAATGTCTTCGTCTATATCAATTGCTAGTACACCGTTTCTATATACATTAGCAAGATCCAGAACTTGTGGCTCTAAACAACTTCTGAAAAAATTAAATTAAAGATACATTATGCGAGATTAGATAACGAGTTGGCAGTTCTCACTATAATAGTTAAAAACTAGATAATGTAAAGGCAATTTGCTGAAAATTTCAGCCAAATTGATCCACCATAAACCGAGAAATAAGCCATCGAAAGTTCCGCATAGCCTTGGTCATCATTACTAAAGTCGGTACGACAAAAATCAGTCTCGATTATCCATTTAATCGTTAAATCGAGAAGGAAAGTTATGCAGCAAATCGGATCATAATCCAACAAATATAGCAGGTTAGCGTTGACATCGAGAGTTGATTATGGTCAGGATACGTTAATTAATGTCTAATTAATAGTTTGTATAACATTTCAGGCCTAAAGAAAAACCTACTATATAAGCATATTTAGCGCTTACATAATGTATATTTAACTATTTTTAAAATCTATTTTCAGTAAACCAGCCAATTTGAAGTAACTGAAATGAAGGCTGCAGAACTTCCTGCTGCCGGTACTACCCAAGCCAATGACATTAATTTTTGTGGATGAAATATATCAAAGGATATTATTACAGAAAAAAATGACTTACTGGTGGTAATGAAATACAATTCTCTGGTCTAGTCCCGCAACATAACTTCACAATATCTGTTGGTATATCTCCACATCTGTCATAGGAACACCAATCGGGTGCAGTTGAGGTTGGATATGGGGGTTGGATTGGCTGTTGGTTTCTTAGTTCTTCAGAAATGTCAAATAAAACTGCAGCCATTTTTTCAGCCACAGACAACAAAAGTATCCTACATCCACCCACTTACCAGTTTCTGAAATTATTTGAAAATTATGTTTGCAATTTGTAAATAATTCTCTGGGCTCACATACTATGTAAATATTTTATATAATTATGACCAGAAATGATCATATATATATTTGTTATACAATTACAAGAAAGTGCGTAATAATAATCCATTGTGAGCTTACAAAACATTTCTTTATATCTTAAAAATTTGTTTTCATAAATATTCTTGCTTGCTGTTTCTGTGTATATATTTTACAACTATAAAAAAGGAGTTTTCTTACCTTGAGTCCCTCAGTTTTTTTCTTTTTTGAGTCTTTCGACCCTCTTCCTTGTTGGCTCAGTTTTCCCTTTTTGTCTTTTTCCCTCTTTGAGGTCTCGGTGGGGTGGTTTCGGATGACGTTATATGTAATTGCAGCTTCCGTTAAGATCTAATTGTCCTTGATGTAGATGATGCTGTTGATGTTGAAGGTTGGGCAGCATGAGTTGCTTCTGGCATAATTGGTAAAGTAGAGGCGAGGGGGGGGGGGGGGCGGTCAACATCTGGTAATGAATTAAATGATTCCATCTGGCATGCCCGACACAAGAATGGTAGATCACTCCCAGTTTTGACTGACCTCAAATAGACAGCTTTCGAAATAACTGTAAAACCAAAATGCAAAGTGAATAAAAAAAGGATTTTCTTAACTCATAGAAAATTCGAGCCAATAAACCTAATTAATAGCCTAATTGCACACAAGAAATTTGTCGGACCTGTTCTACATGTCTTAGGTGTCCATTTACCACAGGAATCACAAGTAACTGTTTCTTCATTGGCACCAATGAATTTATTACACACATAGGACACTGTAAGTCATAATAATTATCAAGTTCAAAAGTGCAGAAATAAATCTGATGAATGATTCATTTAATTTGATATTATTTATATATTTTGAGGGTAAAACCATGTTGCAACTTCAAGAAGTTTAAAATAATCAGCTTTTATGATTACTCATTATCAATTTAAAAAATGCAGGTGGATGAAGTCATATCGGCCTTAGGTCTAATCAAAGCTAAGAATGAACCCAATCATTAAATTTTAAAGAATCTGTCTGTTTGATCCATCAATTAGGTACCGGTAACCAAACCAAGTGAAGCCATGCAGTGAGTCGAGTGACTGATAATAATTTAGTCGAAGTAGGCCTACCATTACTGATTACCAAATTACAATCATTCAATCTAAATTCCGATCATTCACTTCGCAGTTCGTTGCCGACTTTGAAGCCATAAGAGCATAAGTAAATAATCGTAATGAATATAAACTTACCGGGAAAAAATGGATTCATGGTTTGGCATGAATCGTAGCAGTTCAAGTCCCATATTCTCTAAAACTGTCAGCTAGATGTATAAACATTACAGAGCGAGGCGTATTTGACGTTTTGTGCATGCGCTACAATGGGATTCCCCCTTTTCCGCTTTGTAAACTGTTTTTACCAGTCTCTCATAGTGAAATTGGTGAGAACACCATCCACCCAACGGAATTTTTCCATTTTTTTTAAATACCGTTGATAAGATCATGCATATACCACTAATGAATTGGGATATTGTATAATAGTACAATTTGTTGACCAGAATGAAGATTTGGACATATTATTCAGTTATCAAGGACAATTAGATCTTAACGGAAGCTGCAATTACATATAACGTCATCCGAAACCACCAAGAGTGTTATCGTCCCTTTAAAGCAATAGATTTCAGCGTAAAATATATAATCTAAAGCGAAACCTGTTCTAATTAATAATAGGAACATTTAAAATTCGTCTTTAGATGGTCTTGGCACCGTACTTTGGAACGTCGAAAAAGATATTGCACACCATGACGAAAACACCTCGAAACCTGTTTCAAAAATACGTAAAACTATCAAATGGAAATCTCTCCGTTTAGCTGGATATCAAAAGATCGACGTTTGACATGAATTGCCTAAAGATTAGCCTAATATTAAAATGAATAGTGGTTTCATCTCTGTATACCCACAGGCATCGGTCTGTTTATAATGGAACGAGAGAGAGAGAGAGAGAGACGTCTACCGCAGATAAATAAATATATTGTGCCGCATGATGTTTGTTATGAAAAAAAGAACACATTGCTGAATAAAGTACGAGGATAATATTCTATAGGTATTTCAAATACAATAAAGATCAAAATGGTTAATATTCATATGAATATTTGGCTCCGTATCTGATGAATCTGATCAGTTTTCTACTAATGTAGCGCAAATACTGCCTCTGTATTGTGTAAATAACGAATTAAAAAGCTTTTCGGTCCTGGCATTTCGGAAATAACGGATTATGGTCCAGCAATTTCGTCTGTATATAATGTGGTATTTTTCGCTGACATTAAGGTTTCCGAAACATGTTTTAAAGATACACCGAAAGATTGCCTCGTATTTTTGAGCCGAAGAACACGGTAGATTAGCACCTCAAAATCTGAAACTTGGTCTAATTATATTTGTATTAATGTCTCCAACATATGTTATAGCCATTCTTGTCCAATGCCATCTCGATATTTTTTCGATGTTTTCAAGCGTAAGTATATTTTATTTTGGAAAACTAATTACCGAGAACAAAATGTGTTAAAATTGATTGTAACAGTAACACGAGAAGGGAGGTTATATAGTCCAACTCTAATATTATATTGTATACCTTTAGTAGAATGCTACACTGTCGTACTATGTTTGCCTTTGTTCTTGTTTTCTTTTCTCTGCATGGAGTAAACTGAATGGACATTTTGAAAATAGCTTACTATATTTAGTACATCATGTCACTACTGTCTGAACCGTCGTAAATTTTGAACGGATTCCTTCGATTATGAACAAACTATTTAATTGTGGTTATTAAAAACTTGTCTGTGTGTTTGAAATCACCTCCGGTTAAATAAAATCCATTGTACAATTAAATATCCCAACGAAGAAAAATGTTCTCTCTTGCAAAATTGAATTCCTCACAAACTTTGACGTCGAGAAATAAAAAATGGAAGCTTATTACGTCACTTATCGGGATATATCATTTCCTACAAGGGGGTGGCAGCTATTACTCTCCAACCCAGGGATGCGTTTGGGCGTTTACACACATAAATACGTTATAGTCCGTTATTTTGTTTCCGTCCTGTTTTTTTTAAAATCATTTGATTAGAGAGTTGGGTGCGATGATTTTCTTTTGAACACAGTTACAGAACAAAAAGAACGACATTCGTTTTACGGATCTTGAATTTCGCCCTTGAATATCTTTAACACTTCTACATGAACTTAAAGCAGCCCTATCAATTAACTTCGGCCATTAAATATGTATAACGTTATTAGAGTTTATTTTATTTTTATAAATTCATTCATCGATAAATGCCCAAAATTATCTGCAGATACTATCATTTCTCTTCGGATATATCCGTCGTGTAAAAACTGTTTGGCATTTTATAATCGCGCGTCTTCGTAACACAATTAATTTCCTAAAATCCCGGCTTGGTTTTGAAATTCACGGGGCAATGTATCCATACGATTGTATCCGTTATTAACTATTAATCACAAGTACGACCCCATTTTGAAATCCATGGAGAATCAACGCTTTGAATTCTATCACCTTATACATTTTTATAAAGAAGATAAACGATGTTTAGACCTCCTGAACCTTTCTTGTCGCGAATGTTTCCATTTTAGTATCTTTGGAATAAACAAGGACAGCTGTCTAGTCGATCGGATAGCACGAAAAACCGAGGTATACATGGGCATGCTTGTAAAAGATCCCTTGGCAGTTGGAATTCGATATAACTGTAGGCTAAGTGCAGCTGCCCGGAAAAAATTTCCCTCATAGCACACTGTGTGGCGTCTTCATTAGCCAAGTCGGAGTAGAACCGTAGGCCGTTAAAGCCCGTTTTATTTCATTTCATTTCTGTCGAATAAACAAAAACATAATTTATTCCGGAATATAAATGACATAACTTACAGTCGGAACGTGAAATAAATATGGAAATTATTGAGAAGAGGTGTGTGTGAGAGAGAGAGAGAGAGAGAGAGAGAGAGAGAAATGGGGTTTGATTCTTGCCTTGTAATTTGCGACTCTAGTATTGAATTTGCAACAAGGGTTAAAAATCTACATGTAGGTGTTATGTTTGATTCGTCTTTAACAATGGAAAAACAGGTTGATCAGGTATGCAGTGTTTGTAATTTTCATCTCCGTAGTATAGAAACATTCGTCATCTATTGACTACTGCTGCTTGTCATCTTTTGGTGCGGTCTCTAATTTTTTCAAGATTGGACTATTGTAATAGTGCCTTGGCTGGAATATCTCAACATTTATTAAAGCGGTTTCAAATAATTCAGAACAACTGTGCCAGAATCATCACAAGAACAGCAAAACGTTAACATATAACATCTGTCCTTAAATCGCTTCACTAGTTACCAATAGAGGCTCGTATAAACTTTAAAATCCTAACACTGGTCTACAAGTCTCAGCATGATTCAGCTCCATCCTATATCACAGATCTTATGCAGCCTTATGTACCAAACCGACCACTCCTTTCACAGAATAATCTATCACTTGTTAAAATCTTTTGGTGATAAAGCCTTCAATGTATATGGTCCACGACTATGGGATGACTTACCTGACAAAATAAAGTGTTCAGAAACAGTTGCTCAATTTCGATCTAGACTTAAGACACATATGTTCACGATGTATTATCCACAGGGGCTATTAACTTACAGCGCTTAGAGCATGCTCATGGATGGATTAATCGCTATACAAATGTACATTATTATTATTATTATTATTATTTTATGTCACTAGGTCATTTCGGTACTAACATATGGTTTAATTTTATTTCAATAATTCGATTGCGCGTAGGGGTCTTTAGCAGTGGGAGGAAACCGGATTGAGAAGAGGTGACCCTTTTAGATATTTTAGTGGTAATCATAAAACTTTGAAAATGGACTAATAACTTTGTCAATCTTGATGCCCCTTCAACATCTTATGGTGATTTCGTTCATCACGTGACATGTGCATGTTTTGATAAACTGTCGAAAATACAAGCAAAAACATTAACTTTTTTATTCGTTGAGATATTTAATTGTACACTGGATTTTATTTAACCTGAGGCGATTTCAAACACAGGCTAGTTTATAATAACCATTATTAAGTAAATAAACTATAAACATACTTATGGAAAACAGCTACTGATTTATTTAGGCTACGTTTCGAAGGGTATTTTCTCAACGTTTAAAGCTAATATAATATAACAAAATTTGAAGCAACATATACTATTCAAAAAAAGTAGGGGATATTTGATTTTGGGGGCATAATACTAAAATATGCAAATGACTACGAAAAAAGTCACTATAGAACCTAACAGAAGAAACATTTCCAGTTACATGTGACGCCCAAACGCACCAATAGCTACCGCATGGAATGCAGGTGATGCTTGGGATCATCATGGGGGTCCAACCCAAGATTTGC